TGGAGCCACAAAAGTGCTGGAAATATAGGCAAAAAGCGGTCCAAAACCATGGAACTGGCACACTTTATAGGGTGCGGCCTGGGCGAGGTGCGCCAAACCTCTCTCATGCTTGCCCGGTGGGCAAAGTCAGCCTAGAAACCTGGCAAGAAGAGAAACGGGAGCCCAATGATGCTGATGATGCTGATGATGCTGATGATGCTGATGATGCTGGCCAAGGGGGCCAGCATCATCAGCATCATTAGGGGTCCGTTTCTCCATTTTTGGCTTCCCATGCACCCAATGACCCCTCATGAGTGAAAATCGTTTCTCAGCCGAAACTCTGTTGGGGCCTTGAGGCTAGTTTTCAAAACGGCCGGTGCTCATGATGCAATTTTGGGTGGTTCTGGGGGCCCGCCAAAAATCCTTCCGAAATCCCTCCGTGCCGTGGGGATTCGCTGTTGGAGCGCATGCGAATTTTGGAGCGGTCTTGGGATGGGGTCCGGGAGGGGCCCGGGGAGAAACGGAGGTCCGATGATGCACCGGAAAAAAGGTCGGCGGCATAGGCGCCACCCCGTGTAGAGGTAAACCTCTAGGAGGGACGGGCTCCGCCCTGGACCACGGCGGCAGGGCCGGATTTTATATAAGGAATATTATCTTACTAGGTTTAACCACCAAAAAACACTACTCCAGAGGGTCCATGTACCCAATAATTAGGTACCTGGGATTTGGGTAGTAGAAATGAAAGCAAAGGTGTTGGGTAAGTACATGATTATTGGGTACTTGGACCCTTAGGGACTTGTATTCAGAACCTCCAGAGGTTCGCCTCTCTTTTGAGAAACGCTCACGTCCGTGCGCACTGAATCTTTGGATAAGGTAGCGTTCAGCGTTTACCCTAAGGGTTTAAGTGCTCAATGATTTGGTTCTTGTGGTTTTGGCAGTAGTAGTTGTAGTGCGTAGTTTCTGGAGTAGTATATCATGATTTGGTGCTTGGGCCTTGAGGGTTAGGGTCGGGGAAAGTTTCGCTTCGTTACACGGACGGTTCCTGTCTCGATGTAGACAAGACACAAAGACTGCTATGGTCGGGGATCTATTGCCAAACGTAGACTATGGGAAAGTAGCGATGCCAAACGAATGATCTCTGCATGAACTACGGCTTTTGGGACGCCTGCTCAGGTAGAGACAACTGGGTTCGTAATTGGTGCTGGAACGATTTTGAATGACTGCTGAACAGCTTTGCTTTTGGTGGGGTTCGATCATTTTGTATGATTGGCTCCAAGGGTCATTGTGATGTACCCTTCCCATGGTTTGAAGTTGTGTCTGTGACCTTTGCGTAGGTGGTGGGCCGTCAGATACATGAACATAAGCATCAGTCAATTGTGTTTGGGTTTTTCATGTTTTTTTTTGTGAGATAATTAGGATTGATTTAGCCCCGACCAACGCTTAAAGACGATCCGAGAAGCCTTTTTCAGTGCCCAAGAAATTCATGGACACCTTAAACCCCATGTGCTAAAGCGTGTGGTATTGTAAGGATGCCTCAGCATCCTCAGCTTAAGCTTCAAGCCCTAGATGTAAACCCCAAACTGTTTGCCCAGACCCTAAACCCTAAATCCGAAACCGAACCCCAAAGTCCAAGCCCTATAGGTGCAAGTTCTTGAGCTCCAAACCATAAGCCATACACCCTAAAATCTAAACCGTGAAATCACCATATAGAGTCAGGCTGAGTGGAGAGACTGTTCGCAGGGAGCTAAGCTGTGAGTGCGTGGCTTGGGATTCAAGACTTGGGGGTTTTTGGGTTAGTGGA